CATGACGTGTGTTAACCCAACCTCTTATTGTTCATATTACATCATGTGGCTGATGTTCTCAAAACATTCTTTGTTATTGAAACCCTTTTGTAAATAAAACTCTTTCTCACAGAATTTTAGCTTGTTAACTAGCCTTATGTTTTGGTTCTCAAACACCTGGGCTGAATTGTTGTGAATCTGGCCTCAAGAAGCAGTTTTTCTCATCAAGGAAAAATACAGACACACATCTTTACATTTCAACACTTTAACATTGACTATATATCCCATCAGAACCTGACAGTTCTGCTGTCCCCCCCTCCCCAAACCAGTCTTCAGTCCCCATGTCATCCTCAGCATCTTGGGACACTTCTTCCATTCAACTGCATGTCTGGCTGGGTTTTCACCCAAAGCCACTCTCCATTCCCTGCACCTCCCTCAGCACTTCAGGGCTATTTGGGCTGGGCTCCTGACTCCGGAGCTGTACCTTCATCCAGGGTTTCAGGTCCCTGGCCATCCTCTGACTCTCCCTCAGGAGGCTCCTCTGCATTGAGTGCACCTTAGTCTGAATGCTGCTGCTTTGCAATAATAATAAATAATAATAAAATTTATTTATATCCCTCCCTTTGAAAACCCAATAAGGGCAGCTTACAACCATAAAAACATATACAATACCCAGACCCAACAATCCCTCCCCCCTTAAAACAGTATTAAATCAATAAAAATTAAAACAAACAATTCAATTCAATAAAAACAGTACATCAACCAATATATATACCCATCGGCAATGATCCTAACAATCCTTAGATAGAGCCACGCAAGGATCACTGGGGTGGGAGTATCCAAGGCCGGAATAATTAATCTGGAAAGGCCTGCTGGAAGAGATCCATCTTGACAGTCCTTTTGAAGCTGTCTAACGATGTTAACTGATGGATCTCATCCAGCCATTCCAGAGTTTGGGGACGACAACTGAAAAAGCCCTCTGGGAGGTAGCCGCAAGCCTTGATTTCTGAGGCTGCAACAAATTCCTCCCAGAGGAACAGAGAGCATGGGGAAGATTATATGGGAGGAGGCATTCCCTGAGATAGCTTGGACCCAAGCCAT